AGGGTCACCAATGACAGAAGAGGAGCTGGGGACTTAGCTAAGGCTGAAGGAGAAGAGGGAAGCTGTAGTAAATGGGTGGGTCAATTGAACAGAATAGTATATCTGACAAGGAGAGAAAAGTGGGTGAAGACTTCAGAAAAATTATGTCAGAAGAAGATGCTTCCTCTTGGATGCTTCCCATTCTGCCAAGCTTTTAAAGCTTTTGAAAAGTTGCTCTTGACTGCTCTGAAAAAGTCTGGTTGCCAAAAAAGAAAGTTCCTGGGGGAGTTATTCAGGAGATTTGAGGGACCATGTGATTACAGCCACTCCAGGTATTCCCTGATCAGAAGTCCTGTCCCTACCTCCCCCAGCACCCAATAACGCCCACAACAACTTTAGAATGTGTGGGAACAGAGCTGGACCCAAGATATTGGGCTAGCTTGGAAGGAAGGCCTATCTCCAGTCCATGCTCTGCCTTTTCGAGGACCTCAGGAGAAAACTCGGCTTCTGGAGTTGGGGACTGCATTTTCTCCAAAGTCCCTCCATTCCCACTCCCTAAGGACCAACCCCAGAAACATGGAGACCAAACCTGGGATGGAAATAGACAAGACTCCCAACAGGGAGAGGCAAGACAGAGAGAGGATGGGGATGCAGGTTTGGGGAGCTGGGGCCAGAAGGAGATGTCAGCAGGAAGGGGAGGACCCCAATGATTGGGAGTCCTGACCCAGGAAAACAGTCACTTTAAGGTATCATCGGCATTTCTGAACATGAGAATGGCATTATAGATCTTCAGGGCTGGGCCCAGCTTGATACACATGATCTTCACGATGTCCGCCTGGGTCAGCAAAAGGAAGGCCTCGCCATCAATCTTCTGGGGTCGGGAAGGATGAGGAGGGAAAAGGTGGTGAGGAGGGAAGGAAAAAGGGCAGAAAGGAAAAGGGGAGGCAGGAAAACAGACAGAAAAGGGAAGACAAGGGGGGAAGGTGAGAGAGAGAAAGGAGGAAAGAAGGGAGAAGGGAAAGGAGAAAAGGGTGATCAGGAAACAGAGAAAAGGAGGAACAAGGAAGGTTAGAGGAAAAGAGAGAAAAGAAAAGAGAGATGAAAAGGACAAGAAGTGAAGAGAGAAAGAAGGGAAAGAGAGACAGAGGACAGAGGGGAAAAAGGGGGAACAGGGAAGGGAAAAGAAAAAGAAGAAGCAAAAAGGAGAAAAGAGGAGGATGGGGGTGGGAGAGAAAGGAATAAAGGAAGAGGGACCAAGAGATAGGGACAGAGAAGGAAAGAAAGATGTAGTGGCTTCTCTCTATAAACACACAGGCATTTGCACAAGCACTGATCGTTTAGGTACAAAATGTCTTTGGATTTCATAAAAATATCTAAGGTTGGAACACTGGATTCTATGCTTTAAAAAAAGAAATTACAATGAGCCTAAGATTTTCTTCCCCCTTAGGAACAGTCACCAAAAACTTCCTAATGAGGAAGATGTTTGAGCAATGGAAAATCAGGGCTTGCTGAAGATATGAACAATCCAAGCTTCTAAGCATAACCTCACCCCCTGGTAATCTCGTCGAATGGATCATGGAACTCCCTTGATCATTTCCCTTTGCATATACAGCCTGGTAGCTACTGACTGAATGACGGGACAGGACTAGGAGTGATTGGAGCTGAGGGAGAGATGAAGGGGAGCTAGGTCTTAAGGATAGAAAGGTAAAAGCCTGAAGGGTTGTTTGTGACTCCGGGGAGCTTTTGGGTCTGAGACTGTTCTGCGGGGCACGGGAAGAAAAAGAAGGGTTGGGCTAGGATCATTTCCAGTTCTAAAGCTATGATCTTATGAAAGTCCTGGGGGCCATGTGGAGACAGCATTAAGGGAGCTGTTGGAACCAATGGGAAGTTAAAAGAAGAGCACCCTCACCCACTCGCACCTCTGGCCCCATGAACGTCTGTTCTTAGAGGGACTGGATGGCTGAGAACAAAGGGATCCTTTAAAGCGGGGAGGTGCCTGAGCCTAAGGGTCTTCTCATTGGTTAGGATGTTCTCTCTAGTGGCTTTTCTGGCTGGCCTTCTTCATTCTGAGAATGACCTTACTTACAGGGTATCTCAAATGTCTGCAAGCTTTAATAGCTTAAATAGCATTAGTTATTAAATAGGAATATTAAATAGTGTCAAAAAGCTTTAATAGTATTAATTATTAAATAACAATATTAAGTAGTGTCTAATAGCTTTTTAAATAGGAATATTAAATAATATCAAAAGCTTTAATAGCATTAATTATAAAATAGGAATATTAAATGGTGTTAAAAAGCTTTAATACTATGTTATTAAATAGGAATATTAAATAGTACCGAATAGCTTTAATAATATTAGCTATTGAATAGTAATATTAAATAGTATCTAATATCTTAAATAGTTATAGTTATTAAGTAATAGTAATAGTTATTAAGTAGCAATATTAAGTAGTATCTAATAGTTTATTAAATAGTATCTAAAAACTTTAACAGTATTAACTATTAAAAAAGAATATTAAATAGTACCTAATAGCTCATTAAATAGAATACTAAATAGTATCTAATAGCTTATTAAATAGGAATGTTAAATAATACCAAAATTTAAATAGTATTAGTTATTGAATAGGAATATTAAATAATATCAAAAGCTTTAATAGTATTAGTTACTAAATAGGAATATTAAATAGTACCTAAAATTTTAAATAGTATTATTGAATAGGAATATTAAGTAGTATTTAAAAGCCTTGATAGTATTAATTATTAAATAGGAATATGAAATAGTATTTAATAGCTTTAATAGTACTGATTATTAAATAGGAATATTAAATAGTATTTAATAGCTTAAATCTAAACTAACTGGTTTGAAATATCCTATATATGCAATATCCTGATCCATTAGATGAGATTACTAGGAGGTGAAACTATGCTTGGAAGCTTGGATTGTTTACATCTTTCTTTTTTTCTTTTAAAATTGTATTTCCTTTTGTTTCTTTTTAAAAATTGTATTCCTTTTCTTTTCTTTTTTTTTTTTAAATCCTTTTTTTTTCCCTCCCAAACCTTTCTCCCTATAGATTATGGCCAGACTGCCACAGTCAGGAGGTGACTCCCACTGAACCAGGGATGGGGGAGCTCTGCACAGAGCTTATATACTCAAAGCCCTCTCATCCACTTGAGGTGTTGCAAGCACTTTCATCTTTCTCAACTACGATTTCCCTGTTTCCTTTTTCACTAAGTTCCAGAATTGAGGTCTCAGGCACAGTTTGCATCTCCCCCAAGTGCTTAGAGAGAGCAGGTTGTACACATTAGTAGACATTAAACAAATGACAACTGAATTGTTACTGAATTCATCCCTAACGGGTGAAGAAACTAATCTTCCCAGCAGAGAACAATGACCACATCCTAGCATGGTAGGAGTGAGGTAGAGGAACACAGGGCCTAGAGATGTACCCAAGACTTAGGAAATTTGAGTTTTAAACACTCAGAAAAAAACAGATACATGATCCGACGGCTAAGGTTGAAACCATGCTGCAATGAGATACACTTCTCGTGAGAATGCCCATGCCGATCCTTCAAAATGGAAATAGAGCAAGAGTCACGCCTCCCCACTCCAACCACAGGGACACAGTGACCAAGCTCCACGAAGTTGACCAGAGACTTTAAAAGGGAATATAGCTTATGGGAGTCTCTAAAAGAGAAAACTTTGATCGCACTGTAGCAAATAATTGCTATGTGAAAGACAAAGGGGAAGCTTTTAAAGACACCAACATAGGGAACTCTTTGATGAGCTCACAGTTAAAAGGATGTATACAAAAGGTGAAAGAAGCAGCCCACAACTAAGGACAAGTACTGTACAATACAGTGAGCCATTGTGTGCAAGAACAGTATTGCAAAGTCTAGGGCGGGCTGAAGTTTGCAAAAAATGCTAAGAATAAGAGAAGGACCTTTGAAAGCCTTGTTTAAGACAAGAAGAAGAAAGGAAAAGTCTGCCACTTGGAGAGATTTATGATTTTAATTTTTGACAGGGAAAAGAATGAACTAGGCAGCTCCTCTTTTGCTCCCATCATCTCTAACAATGAGAATGGTCTTCAAATTGGAAAGGGCAAGACAAAGTCAAGGAGGAATTTCATGACACCTGAGACTTTGCGCATTAGATTGTAAGCTCCTTGAGGGCAGGAACTGTCTTTGGCCTCTTTTTGTATCCCCAGATGCTTAACATAGTGCCTGGCACTTAGCAGGCACTTAATAAATGTTTACTGATTGATAATATATAATTATAAGAGTAATAACAAGAATAATAACAGAGTCTCAATTCCCTTTACATTAGGTCAGGTCTCCAGGCCCAGATGAATCACAACCCAGGCTACCTGAAAGAATTTTCTGATATAATCCCCCAACTATTGCCAGCAATTTTTGAGAAATTATGGAGACCAAAAGAAGCCCCAGGAGACTAGAGACTGGCAAATGTCTGTTTTCAAAAGGGGAACAGGGTGGATTCTAGGAACTACAGAGCAACTAGCTAGCCAGATATCATTAAGTAACAAAATTGAAAAAGGGAACATCAACCAGATGGTTTGTAAATATTTAAAAAAACGTAATGAACACTAGGAGCTAATGTTTGTTCACTCTAAATAAGTCATGCTAAACTAACCTCCTCTCCTTTTTTGGGGGATAGGTTTCCTTTGGGTAAGTAGGTCAGGGGAATGTTGCAGGCATCATGTATCTTGATATCAGTAAAGCAGTTGGTAAGCCTCCTATGATATCCTCAAGGATGAGATGGTGAAATAAGAATATGGGTGATAATGCTGTAAGGTGGATTTAATAACTGTACCCAAAGTATATAGATGAATGGCTGAATATCCTTTAGTGACAGCAAGGTGCGAGCAGGGTTTCCATCCGTGGTCTTATCAGTTTCAATATTTTTACCAATGACTTGGATGACCAAAGGAAGATTTTCTTATCAAATCTGCTGATGGATAGCTGAGACCACTGATGATAGAAACAAGATTCAAAACAATCACGGGAAGTCAATAAAATCAAATATATTTTAACTAATCAATTGTCCAAGTAGAGGAATGGGGTGAGGGATGGGGCGGGCCTGGGTAGATGACAACAGCTCAGGTGAAAAAGACCTAGGAGTTTTAATATATAACACAAGTCCAATGTGAAACAACATTATAATGCAGCTGCTTAAAAAATAAAAGGGTCACAATTAGGCTGCCTTGGGTAAAAGTCTATTGCCCAGAATAAAGGAAGTAAGAATCCCATTGCACTCTGCACTGGTCAGACCATCTAAAATGTTCTGTATGTTCAGTTCTGTTGTCAGTTCTGGGACTCCTTTTTCAGGAGGGACGTTGACAAATTAGGGAGTGACCACAGCAATGAGGCCCGATGAGGATGATGAGAAGTCTGGAAACCGTGCTATCGCAGGAATACTTGAAGAACTGGTTATGTATAGCCTGGTGAAAAGAAGATTGAGGGGAGATAGGATAATGATCTTCAAATATTTGAAAGGTTGTCCTTGTGGAAGATGAAGTATGTTTATTCTGTGTCCATCCAGAAGCAAACCTTGGAACAATGAGCTGAAGTTACAGGGAAGCAGATTTCATCTCAACCTAAGAAAGACCTTCCTAAAGAGTGAAAGCAGTTTTATAACAGAATGGACCGTCTCACGAGGTAATGAGAGTCCCATCACCGGAAGTATGCAAGCAGAAGTCAATATGGCTTTTATGCTGTTTTGAATAGTTAGACTAAATCGTTCCTGAGGTCCTTTGCAATCCTCAGAGTTTGAATTAATTGTCATGAATTAGAGATTGCTTTCTCCTTCTATTTTAAATGGCAACCATTTATTAGCTCAAATGAGGCCCTGCCTCTTGATTTTAAATGTCATGTTTGGGTAAACCTTTATGCTATGTAATGTTATGCCTGTGAAATTTTAGAAACATTTATGCTGCTTGGCACTTGATAAATTGGCTCAAAGAAACAAATGCCTAGACTGACAACAGGAGAATAAATATAACCTGAATTAACTTCACGGGCGTCCATTATTGTCCTTCCTGAAATCTGGCCCGCACAGAGAGACCGTTACTGTCTCTCTGAGGGTTTTGCCATCCCCCTTTACAGCCCATGCCTCATTCCTCCTCAGGATACGTGTTATTAGTGAGATGTAGAAACTGAGGGCCACGGGGAGCCTGTGGCCTCTGATGGGATGAGACTCTCTGAGGTCTGGCTTCCCAAACAGAGGCTGCTCCAGCCTGCTTTCTGCAGCAGCTGGCTGGTACATCTCCCCCCCCCCCCCCCCCCCGCCTCTGCCTGGAACAGCAGCCTCCCCGCTGCTTTGACTGGGCCTTCCTTACCTCGTCTCTGAAGAGTTTAGCTTGTTCATCACAGCCTGTCAGAATCTGGACAAAGCTGAAGACCTTGGAAACCAGGGAAGGGAATATTGATAAAAAAGGGAGAGGAGGAAGCAGAGGAGAGGGAAAGAGATGAGAAGTGAGAATGTAGAATAAATAGGCCAGAAATGCCCTTGGCTTCCCACCACCAGATGAAGCTGACCCCAGGCAGGATCTCGGAATGCTGTATTGGTGACTGCTCCAGCAAGTCAGGGTAAGAAGAGGGGCCCTTAAGATTCCCACCCTTTGCTGGGCTGGACTGGCAGCTTCTCTTCTCCTTTCCCCCTAAAAGGCCCCCAGTACGCTTGTCGAAGGACAGAAAATGGAGGCAGCACCATTGAAAGGGCCAGGCCCGAACAATTAGGAGTCACAATATGGGCTGGGTGATCCTACAATTGTGAGCCGTCACCAACTTTGCTGTGCCAGGCTCAAGGAGGGAGCACCTAAAGTTGGGAGGGGGCATTCAGGACACCTCTGCCACGTTCTTTCATTAGTGGAGTGTGGAGGCAGGCAGGAGGAGGCTTCCTCTCCCCAGATCCAGTAGTGCCCTCATACCTCCTCGATGGTCCATTTGGTCACCGATGCCGCATTGACACTTGCTATCCCCGGCAGAAGTTTGCAGTGTTGCTCCCAGCATGTGGACAAAGAACGACCCGGGTGAGCTGGCAAGGCCGACATGAAGAAGGATTGGTGCATGTTGTCGGGGGGCAAAGCTGGAAACCAAATGCAAAGCCTGACAGACAAATGGGGAGGGGCGCTTGGCCCCCGCTGGGCAGTGCATGACGCTCCTGAAGGGCATCAAAAGCCAGCAGAGAAGTTAAGCCTGGGGGAGGCAGCATGCTTGGAAGGCATGGGGGGCAGGTTCTGAGTATGTGGGTCAGCCAAAGACAGGTCACTTTCAACCTCTTTGTAATCACAATCGAGATGAGGAAATATATGCCCCCTGATTCCTAAGAGCTTAAGACCTCCCACTTCGTCTCTGACACAGGACATCCACAGCTTCAGACTTAAGTTGGTCCATCCTTAGCCTTCTTCAAGGGGTGATCCTGATCCTATCTGTGCCGCCCCCATCCCCATAACAATCAATGTGTACAAGCAACTTTGTGTTGAAGGCCGATTATTAATTAATTATTGATTATTCATGATTATTCCTATCCTTCCATGTTACACTTTGACATATTGAGTACTCTTGGGTTTGATTCCTGCTTTTGAGCTGGGCAAGTCACTTAATCTTTCTGGGCCTCAGTTTCTTCATCTGTAAAATGAGGTCATTGGACCAAATGACCTCAAAGGTATGTTCCAGCTCCAAATCTAAACTCTTATAAGCTCCCACCAGTGATGAAAACGGCAAACTATTCCTGCCTTCCCATCCCATCTTAAGCGATTTTTGGCCATGCCCCACGTCCTCTCCTAACATCCCCATGGGGGGAGGCTGTTTGACACAATGAGGGTTATCCTACAAGTTTCTTGAAGTTGTGAGGATACAACAGATATATATGGATTTCATACTGATTATTCAAATGAGGTGGGTAGTGTTTGGTCATGGCAACTTAAAATGAGGATGAAGGGCTTACTCAAGGTCACAAAGGTTGTGATTAGGTGGGAAATGGGGGAGGGAGACAAAGGAAAAAGCATTTATTAAGCACACCTACTGTGTGCAAAGCACTATGCTAAATATTATCTCATTGATGAGATGATTTGTTTTATTGATCCTCATAACAACCATGGGAAGTAGGTGCTATGGTAGGTGCCATTTTACAATTGAAGAAACCAAGGCAGGCAGAGGTTAAATGACTTGCCTGGGGACACACAGCTAGTAAGTGCTTGAGGTTGGATTTAAACTCAAGTCTTCCTGACTCCTGGGCCAGTGCTCCACTGTGCCACCGAGCTACTCTAAAAGAACACAGGTCTTCGGCTTCTGATCCAGAAGCACCACACCCTTCTCAACAATTGGGGGGTACTTATTGTTGAAGCTTTTTTCATGCTCTTTCTTCTCTTTCAGTTAATAATTTTTTTTTTTTGAACGAGGCAATAGGGGTAAAGTGACTTTCCCAAAGTCACGCAGCTAGTAACTGTTATGTGCCTGAGGCCGGATATGAACTCAGGTCCTCCTGACTCCAGGGCTGGTGCTGTATCCACTGTGCCACCTAGCTGCCCCAATAATTTTTTTTTTAAATAAAAAGAAGATTATGGCTTAAATGTTTCAGTACCACCTTATCCATAAAGCCTTTCCTACTCCCTCAACTGCCAGTGCTCTCCCTTCCAGACTACCTTGCATTCATACTTATCTATGCTGTTTATGCATCCCAAAAATCTTAGTGCAGTTTTAATACCTAATAGCTTGAAGCCATTAAGAGCTTTAATAACTTAACACTGCACTATGACTTTTGGTACACTCTGTATTTATTCTGCATATGCTTAGCTATGTACTGTGGCCTCCCCAATTAGCATCTAAGTACCTGGAGAGTAAGGTTTGTTTCACTCTTTGTTATTTGTATCCCTAGCACAATGCCTAGTGAGTAGGACACCTTAATAAATAGTAGGCACTTAATAAATACCTGTTAATTGTTGATTGATGGAGAGTAGCCTACATTCCATATCTCACTATTCCATCCTTCTCTGATCCACATTCCACACCTTACTGTTACAACCCTCTCTGATCCACCCAACTCCCTCTTCCAATAGAATAATTATAAGGGCTTGTTGTGTGCCCAGCCCTGTGCTAAACACCTTAAGATCCATTTTGTGTGAACACTTGAGCCCCTGCTATGTCCTCAACAAGTAACAGTCATTTAATTCATACGTATTGGTGCTAGGCACTCCCTGTCTACAGTGTGCCCAACACTGTGCTCCAAGTTTATTTAGGGCCCACTGTGTGCTTATTAGAGAAGTGTAGAGATAGTACTGCCTTAACAGGCAAGAAGGCTTGGGGTCACATTCCCCTCTGACACTGACTTGCTGGGTGTGAACCTGGGCAAGTTATTTACTTTTCATGTGTCTTAATATACCTGTCTAAGATTTACAGTATTTTATCACATAATAGTCACTTTCTGTTTTTTTTTCCAGCCCAAAAATTGGTTTATACCTTTCATGAAGTAATTGTTGCATGTATAATTCTGTTTGTCAAGCTGCTTAAAAAGAAACCAGAGCAGCAATGTATTCGGCAGTGGCATATGGATATGCATTTATGTCTCACGCATTGTGAGCTGGGAGCCCAGAATTCTCAGCACACGGCATTGTAAGTATTTAATATTAACATGTATTGAGTATTCCGTCCATCCAAATCTTGCACCAAAGACAGTTTAGTAGTAAATGATTTTTAAGTAATACCAGTACATGTTTTAAAAAGCTTCACATAATGGTCACAACCCACTTCTTGTAAAAAATTTGGCATAAAATCTGCAATGATTATGCAGTGAAATATGGTTTCTGCTAAGCTATAGGCAGTTGCAGCCTGCTGTTGGTGGAAAGATTCCTTACCCATGGGGGTTCTTTAAACTGATAAAATCACAGACCCTTCATGTATTCCTGTGCCATGCACTCAGGACTGTGTTAAAGGCTGGGGTGGAGAACAACTAGCCCATATCAGTGCCAGTCAAGACTAACACTCCCTTCCCAAAGCCTCTCACTGGGAGACAGTGTGGTACAGTGGAAAGACTGTTGGAACTGGAGTCAGTGGACCTGGGTTCAAATACTGGCTTTGTCATTTACTATCTCTGCACCTTGGGCGAGTCACGGCAACTCTCTGGGCCTCAATTTCCCCCTCTATAAAATAAGAGTGTTGGACTGGATGACCTTTAAGTTCCTTTTCATTTCTAAATCTGAACTCTACCTTTCCCCTCATTCTTCTCTCCTTTTTTCTACTTCCCATTTCTCCCTTAACTAGCTAAAGAACTGAACTGTGTTTTTTTTATTATTTGCTGAACTGAGTTTTATGTTTGGTGTTCTTAAGTTAAAAAGTGGATGTCTAGAATATTTCATTTTTTAAAAATCAAAATCAAGTGGCTTTTAAATATGTGAGTCTCAGTTGATTTAAAAAAATTATTTTTTGGAGGCAATTGGGGTTAAGTGACTTGCCAGGGTCACACAGCTAGTAAGTGTCTGAGGCCAGATTTGAACTTAAGTCCTCTTGACTTGTGCTCTCTTCACTGTGCCACCGAGCCACCTAGGTCAATAAGCATCCAAATAAAAAGGTTCCTTACTTTTGCATTGAGAGTTTGAGGACACATCTTCTTTTTCTAGCTTTGGATACAATTATAGCTTTCTTTCCTTTCTCCTCTCCCCCTACTGAACTGTACGGTCTACATCTCCTGCCTCTAAGATAGTTTCTCCAGCTTCCTACTCATCTATCTCTCTTCTGACTAGGGGCCCAACTTTATCCATAGACATTGCCTTCTATAAGGTCCCAAAGGATCTCCTCGTGGTTAAGCCTGAGGGAAGGTTTCCCATTGTGCTCCTTTACTCTGGTCAACAGAGTCCACTCCCTACAACTGGCTTCTGCCAGACAAAGTCTCTGTCCAGGCTCTCCAGGTCACCTTGTCTGTCCTGATGGCTTCAAGAAGTCTTCAGCACTGTCGGGAGAAGGGGCATACTCTATTCTCACAAAACACCAGAGAAATATTTCATAATTTTTCCTTCTTCACAGCAGAACCATAACTGGGAATTTTCAGTCTGGATAAAGGGGGTAGACTGAGTGGGGTAGGAGGAGCTCACCTGAGATGTGGCCGCTGGGGGTGGGGGAAAGAAGCATGCTCAGGGCTGGTGTTGTCGGCACCCTCTAAATTTTGATGTCCTGGACAAAGCTCCAGTCACCCCACCCTGATTACAGCTCTGCTTCACAGTAACCCAAGCCAGGATTTCACCCATCATAGCCAGCTTCTTCCTCATGTCTACCTGTCATCCCTCTAGCTGCATCGCAAGGCCACTTCCTCTGGCTCTGACCTCAGGGGAAATGGAAAACAGGTGGTTACCCAACTGCTTTTTTCCCAAGGCACCTTTCCAAGGGTAAAATTCTGGGGGTGAGCCCACTATAATAAAGTTCAAAGAAGGATAAATGAGAAACATTGCAGTTTGTTTGGGAAGAGCATTGGCCTTGGTGTCAAAAGATCTGTGTTGCAATCCCCACTCATACTTATCGTGTGACCATGGACAAGTCATTTAAACTCTCTGAATCTCAGTTTCCCCTCTGTAAAATGGGGAGAATAATCCCTGTACCACTGAATCTGTAGGACTGTTGCAAAACAATTTAAGAACTTCAAAGTCCTAGAGAAATGGGAACCATCATTAATGGGAGCCATTAAGAAACTCATCATCAGCTTCATAAAAAAGGCAGCAAGGAGTAGTAGGAAGAGTGACTGGGGAGTCAGGAGCCTTGGGCTCTGCCATTGACTACTTATACTATGGGCAAGGCACTTCACCCCTCTGTCCTCTGCAAAATCAGGAGCCTGGCTATAAAGAACGGCTATAGAAATTGTAGTACGTGGAAGCCGTGAAATATGCTGTGCTCTAAGAAACTAGGAATATGAAGAATTCTGAGAAGCATGGGGAGATGCGTATGAACAGATGTAGAGTGAAGTCGGCAGAACCGAGAAAACAACATACACAATGACTGCAACAATGTAAATGGAAATAACAATAATAACAAAAAAAAAACCTGAAGCTGAATGCTTGGTAATTATAACAGCCAAGCTTGGTCCTGGAGAAGACAGAAGAAAATGTATCTCCTTCCTTTTTTTTTTAGGGAGGAGGATGACAGAGAAGTAACAATGCATATACCACCAGACACAGGTGATGCATTCTTTTTGTGGAATAGATTTTTTTAAAAAAATTTTTATTCTTTATTATGAGGAATGGTTCACTGGATGGGTGAGGGGGGAAGGGTATATTTGAAAATGTAGATGATGTAAAAACAAAACAAATCAAATTAAATTAAATAATAAGAATAGTAAATCAAATTAAATTATTTTGAATGAAGGAGCTCGACTAGATGATGTTCCCAGAGATGCAATTTTATAAAGAATATATTATTTACATTGGCCTATCTCCTTCCTTTTGGTGGCTAAAGCAAACTGAGAGGGTTTGCCCAGAGCTGACTCCATGTGACTGGCTGCACCCTTGGTCTAGGTACCCACTGAGAGGGATAGGCTGAAAATACGGCAAGAGGGAGTTAGGCTAGGCATCAAGAAAAACTGCTGGATGAAGGGCGAGGATATAAAGGGGCTAGACCCATATGGCCCGTAGTGGAGAAGAAAGGGCAAAAGTCAGCTTGGGAGAAGTCCTGGAGAGCACATCACTTAAGGGAGAGAAAGGGCAGAGATGGAAACTGCCCTCGCTTTCACTGAAACTCAGTCTCTTCTTTCTATATGTCTGGGATGCAAGGGAAGGGCCTCAAAGTAAGGACTCATTTTGGGTGCAATGATGAAGCCAGAAGCTAGCTGTTGACATTTTCCTTGGAGTCACCCTATCTTTCTGTTTTTCCACCCTGTATTTGTCCTGAAGGGCTGCTATGTCTGTCTCCTTCCTTCTTCACTCCCCTGAGAACCTCCAACTTTAACAACCAAGGAACCATGCACCGAAACCTTCATTGGCCTTGGCTTCTTACATGGGAAAACACCTCTCTTGTTGTCTCGGGCCCACCCTCCACAAGCTGGGCCCCTTTCTACCTATCCAAATATATTTGTCATCACTCCATCAAGAAGAAGTCTTAGATGTAGCCTTCACATTGTCCAGTGAACACAACAAGCTTGTTTTCAGTTTTGCTCATGCAATTTTTGCCTTGCATACATACCTTTTCCCTCTTTTTCCTTATTCCAACTCCTCCCTTGAGGTCCAGCTTCTCATTTCTTCTGTGAAGCCACCTCAGATACATAACCTCACAGTGATTACTTCTTATCTAAACTCCTACTGAATTTACAGTTTCTTTCACAGGCTCTTAGAATCAAAATGTTTAAATCTCCCTCTCTGCCCCTGGCTCCATGGTAACTATGCTCTGGTTATGGTCCTAATGAGTCCTCTCTGCCTCTTAGCATTGCTCCCAACCACCTCACACTGATGAATTCATTGTCAGCGAATGGACGTCTGCACTAGCAGGTTGACCACTGAAGAGCCAGCAGGTAACAGCCCTAAGCAGCCTGTCTTCAGTTTATTAAATGTAGCATCAGGCAGAAGAGGAGAGACCATTTGGAAGGGATTGTAGATGGGCCAGCAGTTGCCCAGACAAGAATCCCCCAGTCACCTCCTATTTTCTCTGGTTTCCTTCACATCATTCATCCAGCAAACATTCATTTGGCACCTACTGAATGCAGAGTCCTAGGCTGGGTTAGGCAGGGACGGCGACACCAAGACAAAGGAACAAGCCAGGAAGCTGCTAGAATTGATGGAAAATATGGTTGCTCCATGCCAAGAAGGCTCCTGGGCACTTACCCGGGAAATCGTCCTGCTGGATTTTCCGGTACTTTGGAGGGCGCCCAATCCTACAGAGAAACAGAGAAAGGCCGTGGAAGTTATGGGCCCGGTAGGTGTTGTTGTTGTGATCTAGATCCCCACGTCCCCCTGGGCCTTTCTTACAGGACCTGTGGCCCTCCCCCAGACGAGACACCCCTCGCCCAGCCCCCAGCCCTGGGAGCTGGGGGGCCTCTTCCTACCGGCCGTGGTGTCGGGATTTCTTCCTGGGGGCGAAGCCAATGAGGTTCCTCTTGCGTGCAGAGGCCTCGGTGTCCGACAGCTCAGCTTTCACTCGGCCCTGGTTCCTCTCAGCCAGTGGGCAGCCTGAGAGGCAATGATGGGCTGTGAACTTTCCAGTGACGTGGCCGGAGCCGTCACAGCCGGGCGTGGGGCACTTCCTGGGAAGGGAAAGGAGATACAACCAAAGTGACCGGCAGTCTTGGGATCGGATCCTGCTTCCTGGATGCCTAGGCCTGAGTACCCCTGAGTCCTCTGCGTAGACACAACTCCTGGATGTCTCTGCGGCCCCTTCCTCTGATTGATCTTTTCATCCCGGAACCTCCACTTTAGGGAGGCCAGCCATGTTCATTCCTTCTTTCCTCTCTGGGCCCCATGCCTGACTCTCCAGCCTTCTTTCTCCACCATGTCCTCTTTCAACTTCTTTTTATCTGTCGTCTTCCCCATTAGAATGTAAGCTCCTCGAGGACAGGGACAGGCTTTCTTTTTGCTTCTATTTGCATCCCCAGTGCTTAGCACAGAGTCTGGCATACAGCGAGCACCTAATAAATATTTCTTGACTTGACTGCTGATCTGTTGTTGCATCTTCTGGTCCTCTGAAAGATGTTTATCCTGCTCATTACTATGCTCTGTCCCATGAAGCCTCATGCCTTCATGACCCTGATTCAAACCTTCCACCAGTTACGTGATCCAAATTGGCCAGGACTATCTGGACAAGCTCAGGGATGGCCGGAGGGAGAGGGGGGAAAGTGGGGAGGAGGAATGGCTTAAAGAGGATCGGTTGAAAAGAGAAAACTCGCATAGGCCTCATATAAACATGGTTATAGCTGTTTACAGAGTTCATAACTACAAAGTCTGAGTTAGAAGGGACTTTAGAGGGTACCCAGGCCAACCTCCCACTCCCAACAAAGAACCTCAACTATAATACACTTAATAGACAATCATTTAGTGTCTGCTTCAACTCTTCCAGAGACGAGGAGCTCCCCATCTCATAAGCCCGTTCATTCCACTGCTGACCAGCACTGACTGTTATCAAGGTTGCCCTCACATTGAACCAAAATCTGCTTTGCAGTGGTTTCTGTCCACTGGTCCTACTTCTACTCTGAGGTCAAACAGAATTCATTCAGTCCATCACCCACGTGACAGCCCTTCAGATACTGGAAGCCAACGTTCCATCATGTCTTCCCCAAGCCTTCTCTTCCACAGGTTAAACATCCCTGGTTTCGTTGATTCATCTCCATATGACGTGATTTCCAGTCCCCGTCCATCCTGGGCACCATCTCTGGGGTCTTCAGTTTGGTAATGTCCTTCATAAAGCCTGGTGTCTAAAACTAAACACAATACTGCAGATTTGACCTGAGGAGTCTCCTTTCTATCTTTTTTCTCTTTAGTGTTTATCTTCAGTTGCACTCTTTGGCATCTTCTCTTTCTCCTTGTCCTTTCAGTTTCAAATCCTCCTCAGAAGTTTATCAAGTCTTCTGAAGTCCAAAAGTTCTTCCCAATACTCAGGAGATGTCCTCCATCCCCAACAGGGGCCCCAGGGAGAGGCTAGCAGCGGGGTTGGGGGAAAAGGAAGACGGGATCACCCTACCCAGCTTAGGTCAGTCTCAGCTGCCCATCAAGCACCTTGTGGGCAAGTTTGGACTTCTCAGGGTATATGTGTGGGTGCCCACCACAACTCAGGGAATGTGCCCTTCTCCAGCAGAGAATAGTCATCCAGGGCAGGAGGAAGGGGATAGTTTTGCTTGCTCACTCATTCACTCATTCACCCACCCACCTGTGGTGAAAACTGTACTTGGAGGTCTTAACGTGGGGTGGGCTCTTACAGCTGAGTGGGGGGCAGCCCCCGGGAGAGGAAGAGCTGGGTTCTCTGGGTCCTAGAGAAGAGAGAATAGGAAAAGAGGGTCAAATCAGCCCAGGTTTCTGGGGCTGCCTCCCTCAGCTTAAGGCCTCTATGTAGAGAAACACTTAGTTCCCGAAAGCACCTGCCCATCCACCCTCACCATCCCTCCCCTGACCCCCAAACCCAGGGAGGGTGGGGCCGTAGAGAAGAAAATGTCAGATGGACTCCATGAAATGGAGGGAAGGGATCTATACTAAGGGAGAGAGACACAAGGAGTGTCTCCAGGTTTCTGCTTGGTAAGGGTATGCACAGAGTCAGGGGTATATGCCCAGGGGTCCTTGGAGGGAGGACAGGTACATACTGAGTGGGGGCTGTAGAGGATGGCCAGTCTTGGAGCACCAGCCCACAGGGTGTATGTCAGGATGGTCAGAATCAATCCAAAAGTCGTAGGCGTGACTCCAGCCATCAAAGTGGAGCTGAGGAAGCAAGGCAACTAGGCTCCAACTCCCCCAAGCCACTGCCAGGAACTCCACCCTCCTCGCTGACCCACCTAGATTTCAGGGTGAGCAGACACAGATACAGAAGGGAGCTTTGCAGCAGGGCCCCAGAGATCCAGTGAGGAAGCCTACTACCCCCACCTGGCAAGAGAGGGGAATTGTAAGCTATTTCTCCCCCTGATTCTTTTTTTTTTTTTTTTGGCTAGGCAATTGGGGTTAAGTGACTTGCCCAGGGTCACACAGCTAGTAAGTGTCAAGTGTCTGAGACCAGATTTGAACTCAGGTCCTCCTAACTTCAAGGCCAGAGCTCTATCTACTACGCCATCCAGCTGCCCCCTCCCCCGATTCTTCATCTGAAGCTAACTACCCTACAGGGATTCACATTGAGCAGGATGCCGACTCCCTCTGACTCAACCTAGCCAATTTAATGGGGAGATCCCCACAAAGTCTTAGAATACAGAAAAACTGACAAGAGAAGCTCAGAGGATGAAGGGATCCCAGGCTGCATCCTTGGCTCTCTTCTCTTCTCTCCTTACACTCGCTCCTTTGTTGAGCTCGTTCACTTCCGTGCCTTGAACTATCACCTTTATGAAGATGACTTTACCTCCAGTCCTGACCTCTCTTCTGAGTAGAAGACCCACATCTCCAACTGCATAAAAGGTGTCTCTACCTAGATGCCCTGCCTGCACACAAAACTCAATCCATCCCAGGCTAGTGTTACCTTTCCTTCCAAACCTTCTCCCTCTGATCTCCCTAGTTCTGTCTCTGACTCCACTAATAACCTCGTTTCTCATGTTTGAAATCAACCCTCCCAAGGACCAGATCTGTCTCACCCACCCTGTCGCTGTGGCCCCTGCCTTGGGAGGACAGGCTCTCTGATCCCCACCTACCTCACCCTACGCCCCAGCATCACTCTTCATGTCTACCCACTCCTTCTGTGGTGCCCTCTGGAATTCCTGTTCTATAATGAACCAACTCCTTCATGTGAGATTTTTTTCTCTGTCATATTCCTTCCATCTTCTGGCTCTCAAAGCCCTGGCCTTCCTTTCCAATATAGGTTGGACCTTCTCTCATATTCCCAACTCACTGAACCTGAAGATAGGGTAGGAATATTCCTGGCTCCCCATTGCCCCTACCTGACTCTTCCTTGAATGTTATCATCCCTCAACAACCTCTCCTCATTGTATTTAAATTTATCATCCAAGTTAGATCCTGGTGGCTATTACTTATCCCCCTGCCCCAAGACATGCTCCCTTCTTTGTCAGTGAGCTCAGCACCAGGCTTATGCCCTCTCTCTCCACCCCAGCTGCTGCTGTCCTAAAAACTTCCAACTTACATGCTGAGTTAACCCAAATATCCTAACCTCTCAGTTCCTCAATCTATCCTGCTCCCAACCCTATTCTTCTTCCATTCCACCTTGGCTGCACACAGGTCATACTCTTTTTTTTTTCTTTTTGGTGGGGCAATCAGGGTTAAGTGACTTGCCCAGGGTCACACAGCTAACACAGGTCATACTCTTGACCTTGGCATCATCCAAAAGTGTTCCACTCAATGATCAAGACCTTTGCTTTTTTTTAATCTGATAAAAACATCTTATCATTCCATCTCTACCTATGCCTTATTCTTCCTAAGCCTGTTTTTGTCCTCACTATAACCGGTAATGTCTCCACCCCTTAGCATTTTGTCAGGCTGTCTCCCCTGCTCTAGTTACACTCTTCTTCCTTCTCAATTTTGACCTCCTGATGAACCAGTTCATCTCTACTCTCAAATCCCTCATTCCCTTGTCTTACCATTAACCCTAGATCGCTCCCACCATCTGTGTACTTTGTTCCTACTCATAAAGGAAAAGGAAGGGGACAAGCATTCTTCAAGAGCCTACTATATGCCCAACACCCGTGCTAAGCACTTTTAAAATATTATTTTATTTAATCTTCACAACAATCCTGGGAGGTAAGTGCTTTTATTTTTGTTTCTTTGGAGGCAATCAGGGTTAAGTGACTTGCCCAGGGTCACACAGCTAGTAAGTGCCTGAGGCTGGATTTGAACTTTGGTCTTCCTGACTCCAGGCCCATTGCTCTATGCACTGCGCCAACCTACCTACTGGGCAGAGTGAGAGAAAGTTTCATGACCCTGCAGACTGGATCTGCTACAATATTATGTTATCTCATCTCACCTTGGCCCTCACTGCAGAAGGCAATCCTTTTATTCCTTCCTAATTGATTCTCTATCCCACTCTCCACAATGGTTATTCCAAACCTCATCTCTCCTCATGCTTTCAACATCATCCCCTACCCTCTCACCTGAAGTCCTCACCTTATACACACAAAAAAATTTAGGTCCTTCACTTTGATCTCCTTCTTTCTCCTTCCTCCTCATCTCATGACTCCTTGAACATCATCCCTCACTATTTCCCCCTTTACACTAGTCTCCAATGAACCCACGGTCCTCTCACTGAGGCCAAATCCTTTGATCCCAGCCCCTCTAGCATACTGCCCCAACTATCATTCTTTCTCTCTTTAATTTTTCATCTCTCTCCATCTACTGATTCCTTATCTTTTGCCTATAAATATGCCCTATTCTCCCCCATCCTTAAAAAAGCCCTCACTAGATCCCACCACCACTGCTACATTTTGACCTACATCTTCCCTTTCTCAGTCAAATTCCTTGAAAAAAACGATCTACACTCATTTCTTCTATTCCCTCCCCTTTCACTCTCTCCTAAACGTTTCACAATGCAGCTTCTGACCTCATCGGTCAACTGAAACTGCTCTCTCCAAAGTTACCAGTGATTAAAGGTCAAATCTAATGGCTTCTTCTCAATCTTCACCCTTCCTGAACTCTCTGCAGCATTTGACACTTTTGAATCAGGAAATGAGAGAATTGTACTAGATGATCTAGGAAAGGACCTGAAGGTGCTTTCCAGCAATAAATTCATGACCCTACTCAAAAATCTTCAGTGGCTCCCTATTGCCTATTGAATAAAGGATAAACACCTGTCATTCAAGGCCCTCCACAATCTAGAGCCAACTCACCCATCCAGACCCCACTATTTTCTTTCATGTTATCTATATTCCAATCACACTATATAAACTCTCTTTTCCTCTTTTCACTGTTCTCATTCTACCCTCTCTCGTTTTTGTGCTTTTCTCATACCATACCCCGTAGGCCTGGAATGAAGGCTCACATAACCCATCCCACTTCCATTTCTATCCACTGAATTTCCTCCTTTACCTCAAGGCCCAATTCAGCAGCTAACCCTTTCATGAAGCCTTCCTTGACCACCAGGTGAAAATTCTAGTTTCCTTCAAATTTCCCCCCAAAATTCCTTTGCTTGTAAATTTCCTTTTTTTCCCTCTTACTCTCCCCAGTTTCAATTATTTTTGTATATGTCCTCTTCCTGACTATCTCTTCCTCCATCAGATTATAAACTCCTTGAATACTCTGTCCTATATGTATCTATCTTTGTGTTTCTAGTACCAGGCACAGTGACTTGCATACAGTAGACACTTAATAAATGTTTTTTGACTTGCCTTAAAGGGCAGGGGCCAGGATAGAGTCTGGGGAACAAAGTGAGACTCCCACCCTATCAGTCTATTCTCCTTTCCCAGCCCCTGGTGCCACCTTTATCCTATGGTCTTCCACATCCTCCACGCTGGCCACTCGGATCAGAGCTGGACTTCTTCGGTCCACAGCTTCAAGCTTCATGTTGATGAGGAAGCCATGGGGTGGTCGCTGCAGGAGGGACAGGCCATCAAGCTGAGAGCCCAGCTCGGCAGAGTTCCAGTATGGGTCTCTGATGGAGCTGCCAAACCTGAAGGTGTCTGACAGGCTCTGTCCACTCTGCTGTTCCTCCGGGGGCCCACCCCACCCCTCCTAGTGCTCCAGGGGGAGAGCTGATGACACAAGTGCTCTGAGCCCCTCAGTAAGAGGCCAGACCCCATGAGGGTGGCTGTGGAGTAAATCCGCCACCTGAGCCACTGAATCTCAGAGCGAGAAGGTCAAAGGTCACTCAGAGAGCATTTGGTCTAACCTCCTACTCAGTGAAGAAATCTCTTCTATAAAGTTCTTGACAGGTGGTCATTCACAGGTGGTCTGTCTCAACACCTCCCCTGAAAGGGAGCAGCACATTCTGTTTGGGGACAATTCTAATTATGAAGAAGTTATCTTTAAAATGAGGCAAAATCTGCCTCTCTCTAGTCCACCCATTGATCCTTGCTCCACAGCTCGGAGCCAAGCAGAACAAGTATGATCCCTCTTCCACATGGGAGTCTGTATTTTGTGAAAATTAGAGGTAACTTGAGAGCCTAGTTGAATTATTCTGATTTCTGAGGTCATGGAAATACTATGCTTATTTTATATTTCCTTTATTTTTCTCTTGGTTGGGGGTGGGTCATAGTTAGGTAGTCTCCAATTAAATATGAACATGGGTGGAACAGCACCTTCCGTTAAGTAATGAGAAAGCTTCTTGATTGCCTAAAAATAAGCCTGGGGTTATAGAATGGTCATGGGTTTGGGCCTGAGTATCTAGGGGGCATGCCACATTAAGGGGGGGAGGGATTTGAAATAAGAAACCCCATTCTCATTTAATCATAAAATTCAGATTTTATAGATGGCCCAGAAAGGCTGTGATTTGCTCAAAGCAATAATCATGATACTAACATATTATTTATAAGTTAGTTTTAAAAATAACATGAACTATTAATTAATTAATTTAAGGATGCAGAGAATAGGGCATATTAATTAATAACATTAACTCATTTGAATCTTACAACAATCCTGGGAAGTAAGGACCACAAGTATTATCACCCCATTTTACATATGATGAAATTGAATAAACTTCAGAGAGATTACTGACTAGTTCATGATTATTTGACTAATAAGGCTCAAGAAGTGAGACTCAAATTCAGGTCTCTCCTGGCTGCAAATCCAGTATTCCTTCCATTATACTGAATGAGGATTCAAACTCGGATTTCCTAACTCCAAAACCAAGATTTTTCCCACTTTTCCACCTTGTTTCTCATTAGGATGAATGAGAACATGGACACTCCAACCTAGGAGGGAATCATTTGGGCCCAGCAAGACCCAGGGAACAGTCCCTCAAGAGAATTTAGCAGTTAAATACTATCCAATTTAGGACTTGGTAGTTCTAGCTACCTTATCCTGGTACATTAATTCTGAATTTGAATTTTCTCTTTGTAGATGACACCTAGACTCTGCACTCTTGTGGCTTGGAGTGAGTGGGGAGGTAGGGGGAGCAGAAGAAGGGAAAGAAGCAGGTGCTGGACCTGGCCGCTAAGATATTGTGGCAGTGGCAGTAATATCAGAAGTGGTAGAGGGAGCAAATGCAGCTGATCTTCCTTCAAGGTTTAGCTCTGGTGCCACCTCCTACGGGAAGCCCTCCCTGATCATCCTAGTGGTTAGTGCTGCTTCCCCTCCTACTATCCTACATCCAAAATATATCAAGTATTTTAGATTTATTTATCACTTTATAGGTTGCATCTCTCAGTAGAATGTAAGCTCCTTGAGGGCAAGGACTGTTGGTTGTTATTGTCTTTGTAAACCCTAGAACAATACCTTGTACATATTAAGGCATAGTTCTTGTTGAATTGAATTGGATTTGATTCTAGGGATCCAGGTCAGAAAGGACCCAGGGTAGGTGACCTTTGGTTGGGGCTGATTATCTCATCCATTTATTTGAACAAGCATTTATTAAACACCTACCATGTGCTGATCCATTAGACTATGAACTCCTTGAGAGCAGGGACTGTTTTTTGCCTTTCTTTGTATCCCCAGTGCCAGGCATATAATAGGTGCTTAACGCTTGTTGACTGACTGCTAGATTCTGGGTATTCAAAGACAAAAATGAAATTTTTCCCTCTTTCAAGGACCTTACTTCCTATTGGGAAAACAACAGGTACTCAGTAAAGTAAATATAAAATATATCAAAGAAATCCGGAGTAGTTAGAGGTCAAAGCCCTGGGGTCAAAGGTAAGGGTCATCTAGAACTACTCCAGAGAACTGGAAATGTCCTTAAAGGCCATCTGGTCCAACATTCTCATTTTACAGGTGAGGAAAGTGAGGCCCAGAGAGGTTAACTGATTTGTCCAAGGTAACACAGGATTTTAACCCAGGTCTTCAAACTCCAAATACAGTGCTTTTTCTTTTGCACCACACTGGTGTCATGCAAATAGAGGGCAGGTCAGTGAGGTCCAGCATCCCTCTCTGGATCCTTCCAATGGGCCTTCAGATCACTGAAAGTAGCAACCAGAGGCCTCGCTCCCATAACTGCTCCTCCCTTGACACTTACCACTTTGAAGGCCCAGGAAGGGACAGCAGAGGTTCCAGTCTCTTCTAGGTACTTTTCCCAGCAGAAACTATCAGGATCTGGATAATCTAGAGGGGAAAATGGAGAGCAAGCTATGGGTCGGGTGTTGCTTCTGTTCCAGGTGTTTTTAGGTATGAATGAATGAATGAATCAATCAATCAATCAATGGATCAGGGGCTACACTGAGTAGCTCCTGCATAACTATATCCTGGGCCTCGCTTCCTATGGTACCCAAACGGGAAAGGGCTGAAAAACAATTAGCCAAAGGGAAAAACAAGCCCCCAGCTTTCATCTCCTGGGCTGTAAGTCTCTGGACCCTTCAGAATCCCAGCCACTCAGATGGGCGGGCAGGCAGGCAGGCAGTACTGGGTGGAAAGAGACTGGGAATGATCTGTTTTATCCACCCAAAGAGCCCAGAGGGTCCTTTCCAAATCCTTCTCTATTTCCCCTTTGAGTTTTGCTGCTCTGGCTCTACTACACTACTTGTCTGTCTTTCCTGATATTTCCCTAGAGATACTGAAAAGGAATGATTTCTAGGAAAGCCTCAATTATTTGACCCCAAGTTGCTTTGTTCACTGGTAGTGTTAGGCATATGTCCTTTTGGCTGGACTCCTAGGTTGCTAGGAGTGCTGACCTTCTCTACAGTCTCTTGGAAGGGTCTGAAGGACTCCAGGCTCTCGGGCTGAGACACTTTTCTCTCCCAACACAAGGTAACAAGGTGGGTGGTGCCCATAGACTGAGAAAGAGCATCCCTCCTACCAGAGTTTCCCATAATTGAAATGTACTTGATGAAGGAGGGGGATAGAAGGGGAGGATGGAGAATGGGGGAAGGGGATCAGCCAGGTCACCTTGTGGAGGGGTGAGGGGTTTTCCTTGCTTCTGGCACCAGCCAACAGGGTGGATGTAAGGACTGCTGGGGTCACACCTGAAACACAAGGAGACCTCAATATTCAGAGTGCAGCTCTCAGACTCTGGGCCTCCTTATGATGGGCAGGACTTCAGGGATCAAATAGCTCTGGCTTATTATTTTTTAAAGTCTCTTTAATGCTGAAAATATTAATAACAGTTTTTAAAAAGCAGATGGTTATGGAAAAATCTGAATAGCATAATCTTGTCTCAGTAGAAATTATGTTTTAAATAATTAATTTGTCTTAACCTCGTGATGCTTTTCAGATTAATTATCTGATTAATTAGAAAGTGTTCCCTCAACTTTAAAATAATATAAGGAGACATTTGATTTTTTTTCCCCTCAAGTTTAAAAAACCCAACTGGATGATGCTCTCTATTTAAAATGTTAGCTGGTGGAAGATGAGGAAGTTTGTTCTTTTGTTTGTGGCCTGATGGGGAACCTAATTCAGTGAACCCCTCCACCCTCTTATTCTAGGTTACGAGGCAGAACACCCCTCTCCATGTCCCCACATTTTTCTTCTTTCCATCTTTTCTCCTTGTGGTTTTAGTGGAATTTTCTCACTCCCCTTGTCAGCCCAGCTCTGCTAAGGCCCTCAGGGCCTTGAGACACCCTCTACTCTTGAGTGTCCAGGTCTGTTAGAAAAGAGGTAGCATTGAACAGATGCCCATCAACTGCAGAATGGCTGAATAAGTTGTGGTATATGAATGTAATGGAATGCTTTTGTGCTATAAGAAATGATGAGCAGACTGACTTCAGAAAAACCTGGAAAGACTTGTATGGACTGATGCTGAGTGAAGTGAGCAGAACCAAGAGAACATTGTGCACAGTAACAGCCACATTGTACGATGACTGATTTTGATAGACTTAGCCCTTCTCAGCAATGCAAGGATCTAAGACATCTCCAAAAGACTCAGGATGGAAATTGCTATCCACATCCAGAGAAAGAACTATGGAGTCTGAATGCAGATCAAAGCATACTATTTGCTCTCCTTTTCCGTTGTTGTTTTGTTATATTGCTTCATTCTCGTGGTTCTTCCCATTAGTTCTAATTGTTCTTTACATCATGACTAATGGGAAAATATGCTTAATACGAATGTATAAGTAGAGCCTATATCAAATTGCATGCTGTCTTGGGGGAGGGGGTGAGAGGAGTAGGAGGGGGAGAAAATTTTAAACTCAAAATCTTATGGAAGTGAATGTTGAAAACTAGAAATAAATAATTATCAAGAAAAAAAAAACAAAAAAAAAGAAAAGGGGTAGCACTCACCTTTGAAGAAAAAGGAGAGAGGAACAAAGAAAGAATGGGGTGAAGTAGAGGAGAGAAAAAGGAAGAGATCGGGATGAAGGAGTAGAAAGAAAGAAGCAAGGAACCTAGAGTGGCCTGGCCTCAGAGTATCTAGTCACCTCCTCGAGCCCCTGAGATGAGGGTCAGAAAAGGGAGGTTCAGTTCTATCTGGTCCTGAGAGGGTCTCCTTGCCGACAGTGGTCCCAGAGTCATGATAACTTTAATAAGCAGCCCAGGGGCTGGAGGTCATAAAGGTGGTCCTGACACTGTGGTTAGAGGATCGTAGACTGAGAACTAAAAGGGACTTTATATACTTGGATCATATATTTAGAGCTGGAAAAGGCCTTAGAGGTCATCTAGTCCCACTCTATCATTTTACAGGTGAAGAAACTGAGACCCAAAAAGGACTCGCCCAAAGTCCACAGGAAGAGTGTGGTAGAGATGGACAGGATTGGAATCCAAGGCTTCTGACTCCAGAGTTCGTCAGCATTCTCTCCACTTTACCGAGGTGACTATTGAGGGCTGGCATGGAAGTCTCAGGCTAAAATAGCACCTGTTTCTTTTGTTCTGTCACCCCATTCCCCCAGTTATTGATCCCAAGATCACCACCCCACTCCCTGCACAGCAGGACTGCTCCCACTACCAGTAATCGTAAGTGTCGTCCCAGTTGTCAAAGTGCACCAAGAAACGCCCGTTCACCACGTCGGTGACACTAGCCACGCAGATGAGGGAGGGGTTCATGCGGTCCACAGCCTCCAGCTTCATGCCCACCTGGAAGCCTGTGGGCACTGAGCTCTGTAGGGGAACGTGAGTTCCTCTGTCACAGACCAAACTAAGGCTTCTGTCCCCACCCAAAGCTACTCTTGAGTCCAATGAGAAAAGAAGAGACAGTAACTTCAAAGTCACTCTCGGGGAGGAGAAGGCTGGGGGAAAGGGGGTAAGTTTGGTGCCAAGCCTTCAATCTAATTCAATTGTTAAAAATTATTAAGAACCTACTATGTGCCTGGCACTATACTAGGCACTGAGAATATAACACCAAAAACAGTTCCTACCCTCAAAGAGCTTACATTCTACTAGGTTTCTCAACTCACTTTCAATCTTGCAAAGCTCATTCAGAGGGAGTTGGCCCAAGGGATTGAGATGGATGACTGGCCAGTACATAGCATTCATCGGGGGAAACTGAGGAAAGTGACAAGGAGAACACCCTAGGGAATGTAACTAGGAATTTATGACCATCTTCTCTACCCAGAACGGAACTGCGTGGCCCCCACCACTTCCCTGAGACCAGTGAGCTCACTCCCTGGATCTGGACCAGGCAAGGGTGTATCCTTTCAGCCTAGGTAGCGAGGAGAAATCACTCACTTCCCTGATCGAAGGAAAGGGCAGGATTCTTGGATCATGGGTCTAGAGGTGAAAGCTACCCCAAAGGCCGTCTAATCCAACCCCTATATTTTATAGATGAGAAGATGGAAGCCCAGGTAGGGCAAATGACTGCTCAAAGGCACTCAGGCTTGGGGATGAAGCTGCCCTCTCCCTGGTCCAAAGGGAGAAGAAGAGGGAGACCCTCTTCTGGCACGGCGGTGGGGGAGGGGACTTCGACACTTACGCTGCTATGGCTGGAAAACAGGTGCTTGGGGGCAGCCTGGGCCTTGGTGCTGCGGAGGTAATTGCTCCAGCTGAACTCCTCCTCCTTGTAACCTAGTCCCCTCAGGGGCAACAAATAGAGCAGGGTATGGAAGCTGGGGCATGGCTTGGTCCTTGGGGACAGGGGAGCATGAAAGGGACAGACCCCAGCAGTCAAGTAGGGCCCCCATGTCCAGCCCCAGAAGCAGTCCAGGAGCCTCTCTCCTGCCAAAGAGCACCAAGCCCTCCCCCTTCCTCCAGGACTTAGTAGGGAGGGCAGCAGGTGGGAGAGAAGTGGGGGGCTAAGGAAGGAGGGGAAGGAGAGGGCAGACACATCCACCAGCCTGCACCGGGCTGGCGCCAGCCTCGGCCAAGCCTTACCTTTGGGCGGCTGTAGCCTGTGTCCAGTCTTCTCGAACCAGCCAGCGGGGTGGATGTTGGGGGAATCCGCATTGAGCCAGAAGTCATGGCACTCAGAGTAGCCATCAAAGTGCAGACGCATTCGGTACCCGCAAACCTAGCAGGAGGAGACATAAGAGCTCAAGGGAAAGAAAGTCTAGTATCAGGCCGGAGCTGAGCCAGGGGCCAGCAGCCTCACCTTGATTTCTCTCCTGTCCCTCTTCTTCCCAATTCCTACACCTTTTCACCTTCATGTTCTCCTCTCCTCTCATTCATTCATTCAATAAGCATTTATTAAGTACTTACTACTGCCAGGCACTATGCTAGGTGCAACGACACCGGCACAGAGTTTAGATCGTGCCTGGGAGGTGGGGAAATGGGAACAAGAGGAACGTGGGCCTCTGTTTTCAGTCTCACTCTAAATTCTCTCTCTTGGCAGAATCATCTCCTCCCAGGGTTACCTTTACAGGTGTGATTCTCAACTTTAAATCCCTATCCTCGACCACTCTCCCCTAAGCCCCAGGTCAGCCCCAGCAGCTTCCATGGGCCAAGGACACCTCTTCCTGGATGCCCATTTGGCACCTCAAGCTCAATATGTCCCAAAACGAGCACAGCATATTCACCTCTTGCTGAAAACCCGGTCTTTTTCCTGACTCCTCCCTCCACCCCACACCACCATTCTCCTGAACAACCATGAAACTCCAAAGCCATCACTGACTATACTGAAAGGGACACTGATGCTGGTGTCATAGGGCCTGAGTTCAAATCTCACCTTGGAAGCTTATTGCCTCTGTAACCTCGGGTAAGTCACTAAAATTCCCCAGGCCTCAGTTTCCTCATCTGGCTGCTCATCTGCCCCATCACTGACTCTCACTTAATTTATTTATTTTTGACAGTCAAAAAACATGTGCCCACCATGCACCAGACTGTGAGCCGGACACAGAGGGCACAAAGACAATCAGGAACCAGTCTCTGCCCTCAGAGAGCTCACATTCTCAGCACAAAGGCTGCTTTTTACAAAAGGCCTCTCCTAGTCCTCTCCACTGCTAGCACCTTCCCTCTGTTATCTTCCATTTATACTGCATATCTCTTGGATGTGGTGGCTGACATTTTGTCTCCCCCGTTAGACTGTGAGCTCCTTGAGGGCAGGAACAATCTTTTGCCTTCCTTTGTATCCCCAGCACTGAGCACAGTCCTTGGCACACAGGAAGCATCCAATAAATGCCTGCTGATTGACATTCTATGGGAGGGAGACAAGATGAGCATACACTTATAAGAAGGGGTACCCCAGGAAGACTTAAACAGAGGCTGGGGGTCTGGAGAGGTAAAAGGCAGACACTGAAGGGCCTCAGTTCTGAGATTATCTGTCTCCTCCATGAAGGACACAGCTCTAGCCTCTGGGGTTCAGATAATCCTGCCAAGCTGAAAAGCTCCTTCCCTCTGTAAGGCACTCCCCACCGATTCTGGCTCTCACTTCTTGACTTGTATCCAAGCCCTGCCCAGTCTGGTGATGATAATGGCATTCAAAGCCCTCTACGATCCAGCCCCAACCTATGCTTCCCACTGGGGGCTGCCTACACAATTCTGAACTTTGAACAAACCAATTTAGGCAACTGTCCCCCAAACATACCCTTTGCACTCCAGCTTCAGTCTTTTTGCCCGTAAGGACTATTTCCCCTTTACCTTTGTACCTTTCCAAAGACTATTCCTCAGTGAAGTCATCCCAGGTAAGCTGGAGACCCAAAGGACATCACTCGTTGGTAAACCTGCAGCACTTACACATACCATACGGCCTATAAAGCTTCACTGTCTAGTGCCAGGCTCTGCTGAGGCTCCTCCCAAGCCTCCTCTCAAGCCTCCCTCTCTACTAGTGGCACGCCGTATAGAACTCACCTCTACCACTGTGAGGATGAAATACATGGATGGGTGCTGAGGGTCTATTCCTTCCAGCTTCATGCCCAGTTTGAAGCCATTCTTGTTCTGAGGGAAAGCCTGGCACTGAAAGATAAAAAGGAGGGGCAGGAACAGCCTTGATCCAGTGTGAGGGTCTTGGGGAAGTATAAGGGGGGTTGTCGAGGAGACCCAACCCCAAGACCTAGCTAAGTATTGGGGGAGAGAGAGAGAAAAGGCCTACAGGGTATGATGCTTCTGGGAAAAATCAGGAGAGAGAGAGAGAGAGAGAGAGAGAGGGAGAGAGAGAGAGAAGGAGAGGGAGAGGGAGAGAGAGAGAATGAGAAAGAGAGCTGGCTGCTTAAGAATAAGACCAGGGCACTGAACTTTGGAGGGGTGATGAGTTAGCACATGGGTTACATCTATTACCTAACTTTTCCCCCACCAAACATATTCATGGATTGAGAAATAGACACGAGGCAGCAAGGTAGGAGAGCGCAGAAATTTAAGGAATGGGAAGCCCAGAGGTGGGTCCGGGAGTTGGCTAACACCTGGGGCTCCTCGCCCTTCCAGCCTCTTTCCAGCTCTGGCCTTCTCTATCTCCTCCATCAAGTACATCAATAATGTCAGAGACCAGGCAGCAGTGAGCCTCCCCAGGCTTCTGAGTTCTGGGGTAGAAAGACAGGTGGCATCTCCCATATGGAAATTCCAGAACTCACATCATGGAAGAGATCCAGCGGCGCAGCAATGGCCTTCTGCTCCTCCAGGTACACAGCCCATGACCACCCATCCTTCTTCTCCTCACCAGGTCCTGCAGGGACAGAATCCTTGCTCACTGCGGCCTGGCACCTGACTCACTGCTCTGCTCAGAATTCCCTCTGAATGCTCCATTAGACTATATGACAGGGGTCCTGGCTGGATCCCAGGTTTGGCCAACAGGAAATGAGAGGTTATGGTCGTCTGGTTCTGGTCTGCCTGGACAGAGCTGCGTGATGGAATAAGGGCTGGATTTGGAGTCCAAGGGACCTGGCACTGATACTTAAATGATCAGTTAACTACCTGAGGCCTTACTTATATGCAAAATGAAAGCATTAGACTAGCTGCCCCCTAAGTTCCCTTCCAGGTTCCTGTTTATGATGCTATGTTTTCCTGGACCTTTCAGATCCAGGACCCAAAGGCACTGTGAATCTGAAGGGACTGAACACTGTCTATGGGTGTGGTTAGCAGACCCCAGGAAGAAGTAAAAAAGAAAGGGAATTAGGGTTAGGGTTAAGGAGGACAGAACAGGAAAGGAAAGGAAGGGGAAGAAAAGTCAGTCAACAAGCATTTATATTAAGCATCTACCATTTGCTAGGCACTGCAAAAATACTGGGAGTGCTGGGAAGAGACAAAAAACAGGCCCTCCTCTCAGAGCTCACAGAGAGACAATATGCAAACAATTAGTTACAAACAAGATACATAAAGGATAAATTAGAGATAACCAACACTAGGGAACACTGGAGGATATGTCACCAACCCCAGAAGGAAAGTACTGGACTGTATAATTCTAGGCAAATGACTTTCTCTCTCTGGGCCTCAGTTTCCCTAGTAGTAAAATGATGGACAAGATTGTTTCAAAGGCTCTTTCATACCTAATATTCTATAGTTCTAAAGCTGTGCTTGAATTAGGCCCCTATTTTATCCTTTTGTCTCTCTTTTTTCCAGTAATCTTTTTTTATTAATTTATTTTTAGTTTTCAATAATCACTTCCATAAACTTTGGGTTTTAAATTTTTCTCCCCCTCCTTCCCCGCCTCCTTCCTCAAGAAGGTGCGCAATCTGATATAGGCTCTACATATACATTCCTATTAAACATATTTTCACATTAGTCATGTTTTAAGGAAGAATTAGAACCTATAGGAGGAACCACAAGAAAGAGGAAACAAAACAAAACAGAAGGAAAAAAAAAGCAAATAGTATGCTTTGATCTGCATTCAAACTCCATAGTTCTTTCTCTGGATGTGAATAGCATTTTCCATCATGAGACTTTTGGAGATGTCTTAGATCCCTGAATTGCTGAGAAGGGCTACGTCTATCAAAGTTGATCATCGCACAACGTGGTCATTACTGTGCACAACGGTCTCCTGGTTCTGCTCACTTCACTTAGCATCAGTCCATACGAGTCTTTCCAGGTTTTTCTGAAGTCTGCCTGCTCATCATTTCTTATAGCACAATAGTATTCCATTACATTCATATACCACAACTTGTTCAGTCATTCCCCAATGGATAGGCTCCTGTCTCTTTTTCATACAAGCAGCTTTGCCCTCACTGGGTGACCCCACGGAACCTCCCTATAAGGTTCTGTCTTCAGTGCTCTAACACTATACAATCTAAGGAATGAATATGAATTTCATTCCCACTGAGCTTAGACAAGCTGGGGTCTTGGATGAAAAGCATGAGTCACTCTCACTTCTAGGACCCAGGTCATAGTCAAGACCCTGAGCGAGAACTGTTGGAAGCTGACAACGTAGAACCCCAAGATTCCACTTTCTGGGCATAGCCTCAAAACTGTACCAGCTCATTTTCCTTACTGAAAACTAGATTGTCTCCTATGAAAAAATGGGATTCTCCAGAATTCCATTACAACAAATACCACTGCAAAGAAGACATTCGTTTAACAAAACTGCTCCCATGTCTCTGCTGTGGAATGACTCAGAGACCCAAGTCTCTGCTGTATAATAAGCCCAGCAACGCGCTTTCTTTAGTTCAGCGGTTCTCAAACTTTTTGGTCTTAGGACTCTTTTATGCTTCTAAAAACTATTGAGGAGCCCAAAGAACTTTTGTTTATGAGGGTTATATCTATCTATATTTACTATATTAAAAATTAAAACTGATAAACTATTAATTAATCATTTAAAAATAACAATGATAAATCCATTGACCATTAATGTGTTTTTAAATGAGAAATAACTATTTTTTTTCAAAATAAAAAGAATTTAGTGAGATGAGTGGCACTGTTTTATACATTTTTTTCAAATCTCCTTAATATCTAGTTAATAGAAGACAGCTGGATTCTCCTATCTGCTTCTGCATTTAATCAGTCTCTTGTGATATGCTGCTTTGGCTGAAGTATATAAAGAAAATCTAGATCTATGTAGCTATGTAGTTGGGAAAGAGAGGAGTATATTAATGGGCAAATATCTTAGTATTATTAAAAAAATAGTTCTGACCTTGTGGAGCCTCTGAAAGGGTATCCGCATCCTCAGTGTTTGCAGACCACACTTTGAGAACTACCCTGGTTCACTGCAGGAGCTTCGATACAGAGAGCTCTTTACCGTTCTTTTGTTCTGCCATCAAGTGAAGGTCACTCTCAATTCCCTCTCACCATATTGGACTCCTAAATAAAACCTATCTAAACTCCCAAGCTCACCCATCAAAACCCAGTAGGAGCAAACACCCTGCTGGGGGAAGAAAGAAGGTTGAGGAGTATGTGCATGTGGGGGTGGGGGAAAGACAAGTGGGGATCCAGCTACTCAGAGGGGATGCCTTCTCTTATTGGATTCTGAGCACTGGGAGGCTGAGGTCACTTGTTTCATCTGCAGCGCTTGCAGCTGGATAAAACATTCATTTAGTGAAATCCCTTCAAAAACTATTCAGCGACATATATCTTCAGACATGGCCAGTGGGCATATATGTTACAAAGGTTTTTCTCATTCTTTTCAATGGAGGCGGGGAGGGAGTGGGGACAGGGAGGCAGAATGGCGGGGGGGGGGGGGGGGGCCGGGGGGTTTTAGTGGACCACAAACTAACACTAAATCAATGGAACAGTCAAACATGGCAGTCTAAAACGTTCCAGGCAGCATTAATACAACAATGTCGTGTCCAAGAAAACAAATAAAAAAGAAAGATTACTGCTCAATGTCATCAAAGCCCATCTATTTAACATCAGCATTATCTCACTGTTGTTATGAACATGAAAATCACGCAACACCATGATCTCATAAGAATCAAATTGACAAATCATCCAAACATGGTGGGTGAAAAAGTCGGCTTATGATCAGCAATAGTTTATGCACGAAAAGTGGGGTAAAAGACATCATCAAGGTGATGTGTATTACTGGAAAAGGAGGTAGGCCAGGCATGTCCAAGCAAGGGATATCAGAGAGATGGCCCAAGTGGTACACTGAAGACCTCTAAGATATTAAAGGAATTAGTAGAATGGATTCAGTGTATTAGATGGATCTTTCATACATGATTTTGGAAAGAAATGGATAAAGATAGCATAGAAAAAGAGAGTAGGAAGTAGCTACAATCTGCTCTGACAGAGATACATTTTTTTTTTTAAAGTTTGCTTATAAGAAAACTACTTAAGAGATCCCATGGAATTCACAGAGGGTCAAGGTTGGAATAATTCTTGAAGATCTTCTAGTCCAAACTTTTCATTTTACAAATGAAAGAACCAGAGGATTAGCATTTATGCAGCACTTTAAGGTTTGCAAAGCACTTTACAAATACTATCTCATTTTGTCCTCACAACAACCCTGGGAGGAAGGTGCTATTATTATCCCCATTTTACAGATGAGGAAACTGAAGTTAAGCAACTTGCCCATGAGGCAAGATGTGAACTCAGTTCTTCCTGACTCCAGGTCCAGTGCTCTGTCCATTTTGCCACCTAGCTGCCTGTTATTATTTTATATGCTGCCCACTGCCTGACAGAGAGTTAAAGGACTCAGAGTATAAAATGAGACAGTTTTTTGTTGGATGTAGCCAATGCAGAAATTTGTTTTGCTTGACTATACATGTTTGTAATACAAGTTTGTTTTTCTTTCTCAATTGGGGGAAAGGAGGGAGGAAGGAAAGAAGATGGATTTTTGCTGTTTGAAAAAAATACTTAATTTAAAATAAAACACACAAATGAAGAAGCCAAGGTCCAGAGAGGAGAAGGGATGTAAAGGGGATTCAGTTAGTTCTAGTTTTTCTATATACCGCTAACTGGTTGGGTAATCTTGACCAAGTTCATATGATTCTCAAGCAATTGTTTTTCCTGCTACACCTTGCTGAAATTATGAAGTTAAGAAACTTCCTCCCCCTGAACATATCACCAAACCTCTAAGACCTAATAAAGAGTGTGATAGGAATTACTGATTTTTTATTTCGTTTTATTGCTCCTGCAACTATCATTCAACTGAAAGCCTATCTTCTATTAATATTATCATTTAGGACACCTAGGTGGCACAGTGGATAGAGCACCAGTCCTGGAGTCAGGAGGACCTGAGTTCAAATGTGATCTCAGACCAGACACTTGACACTTACTAGCTGTGTGACCCTGGGCAAGTCACTTAACCCCAATTGCCTCACCAAAAATATATATATGTATATTATCCTCATTTGACCAAATCCTGTCCAATGGGATGTAAAAATTTTACTTAAAGCCTTAAACATTCCTTAGATAAGAAACCAGAGGAAGAATCTCAACTGTCCCTGTCTCCTTGGTGACATATAACTCTTCCTCCTCAACCAGACTACTTGTGAACCCTCTAAATGTAGTTTAATCTGTTATCTGACTTAGTTTACCCATGAAGTTTGCTTGATGAAGTTTGTTTCCTTAGGAGACATATGAAATTATGGACTCTGTTTGCTAAGTTTGTTCAACTTTTTTGACACTGAAGGAAATATTCTGTCTTTTCTTTAACTTTTATGGCCTTAGAGGAATGTACAGAGATTGTAATATGTAAGGGGCAGCTAAGTGGCGCAGTGGATAGAGCACCGGCCCTGAAGTCTGGAGGACCTGAGTTCAAATCCGGCCTCAGACCGAACACTTGACACTTACTAG